GCACTCCAGTTTAGCTCTCCTCAGTCTATTTTAGTTTGGGCAATTGCACTGTGGCACAGGTTGTTCAAGAATTATCTGTGCTTCTGTTTCTGTGTGCCCCAGTGAAGTTGCTTTCCAGAGACCTGACTTTCAGGAAATAATGGGCAGCAACCAGGTAGCTTTTTAAAGTCAATATAGTTTATATAAGCATGCATTTGGAGGCAGACTAATCTTTGAGTAAGACTGGTCACTTGCGGAGGTGATGGAGGGAGAGCTTAAGGGAAATACCTAGTTGTTCCTATATACCAACAAGATGCTCCAGTAGCAATATTGTGGATCAGAGAATAAACATTGCAGCTGCTGTTATTATCTATGCCGTTATTACACTACCAGGAGCCTACATGTATTTGATTATTACAATTGTTATTAGTGCTGTGGAGCTACGTTCTTATTCATGTTATTAATTGCTGAGCAAGAAAGGCCTCAATTTAAGTTGGACGTAACCATATTTCTCTATAAAACATTACTTTTACTTCATTTAATGTGAAAACCCTCTTTTATGCTGACTTTATGTTTTGTTGCAAATAATAGGCAATTTTTAGAAAGTTATGTAAATATTAAAAATTATGGCTTTAATTCAAATGAAGATGCCTAGACTGATCTTAACTTTAATTTAGCTATGGATTTTAATTAAAATCCGTGCACCTACATCCTTTCCTTGATCAGGGCTATTCTCCTTTATCATGATCTTGATGCTCTTTTGGTCATTTAAATTGTTTTTCCCATGCATGTTTAATTTTGTTGTGTTCATTTGTTGTGTAATTTTATTCAAATCTGCTTTTTGTAGAATGGAGACCTGATAGTGGGCGGGCCTGGTAGTTTTTATTGGCAAGGTATGTTCATCTGGCTGGTTAACTTGATCTAAGAAGTGAAGCATAAAGTGTGGAAAATGCTGTTCTAGATTTCGATCATTTTCTCAGTTTAAGATAACTAATTTCCGGTCCATCTTAAGGAGGTGTAGATCAGAAGAATTGTTTAACAAGCAACTGAGTGTAAAAGTAAATCCGTGAAAATTAAGGCTATTGGTTCTGTAAGAGATGAAGCAAATAGAAATAACTATTTTCATGTTGGTATTTTAGCATATTTGTCATTTAATTAATAAGATGACTTTTTTCTAGAAATACTGCTCTTTTAAAAATAATTAATATTTATACAGTAAATATAATATTTTCAAAGCTTTTCTCGCTGTTTGTTAGTGACCACAATTTTTTACTGCTATCTGTATATATTTGTAGTTTGTGAGAACAATGTAGTTTCCCAGCTGTACTTTCTCATATGGCTGAAGCCTGGTAGAGGGATAGCAGGGTGTTTTTGCTTTAGCCTGTTTTGATATGTGTGATACAGCTGATTCCCATACTCTGCCCATGAATCTGCCTCTCGCCAGCCCCACTGATGTGTGTTTTCGCACTGACATTAAGGAAGGAAGATTGTAGTTGATTCTGATAGCAAGGCACGCATAGCTTTGAATTCTCCACTGAGAAATCACTTCCATTAGTCTACTACATCTATACTGTACATCATCAAAAGGTAGATATTATGGAGAAGCTGAGCTTGAAAAAGCTTGTTCTTGGTTTGAATCAGCACCTTGAAATGGATCTGGAGTTGTTTTTGTGACAGTTCAATAGATTATCAATGCCTTGTTATATTGATTTATATGAACTCATGAGACTCCCAGGGTAATACTAGAAAAAGATTGAGTGAAGATATCTACTTTCTGCATCTGTGCCGCATTATCCCCTGCAGTTCCGTTCTGATGTTCTGCGAGCCTTGTTTTGTAGAAGCTGGCTCTCCGTTGTGTCCCTTTCATTTATGAAGTTGTTTGAATCCAGGTCAGGTAATCACTGCAAGTATTGCGGATATCATTGCAAATTACTCCTTCAAGGATATTCTAAGGAAGCTGGCACGAGAGAAGCAAACAGGAGTGGCACAACCCACATATGATGACAATTACATGGGTAAGCTAAGCTATATGTCAGTTTGCAGTATGTCCTTAAAAGCTTAGTGAGGCTTATGTGAATGTGAAAACAAACCCAAAATTACTGATGTCCTAATCCTGAGAGGATTTAAACTCATGTTTTGCCTTAAGCACAATAGCAAATTAATAATTTGCTAATTACTTCAGTAGGTTTATGACTATTCTTAAAATTATGCATAGTGACAGGGTTTGAAGGATGCAATCTTAAATGGATCTTAAGTGGGTGTTATTTGTATTATTTGATCTTAAAACAAGTAAGCACAAATACAAAATTCTCCTGTTTTGGTCTTCTCTTATGCCAAGGAAATGGATTGAGTTTACAGTAATTAAAGACTACAGTTTTTAACAAATAAAAGAAAATTTAGGTCTACAGTATTTCATAAGTGCTACCTAAATAGACGAGTCAATTTTTCCCTGATGTTGCAAGATGCAGTTGAAGTAATAACCTAGCTGGTTTGAAGATACAGGGTAGTAAGTAGAAAAAGCCCTCCAGGTGTACCATTTACTAGCACTGATCTGTAAGAATTTGCTTGATAGTCACATATCTCTGAGAATAACGCAAGGCTTTCTTCACATAATTATAGAAAAGATGCAGTGCAATTTCAGTGCAAAGATACATCCTTTTGTCTCTGCCCATAGAGCTGGAGTTACAATCACTGATACAATCCAAAAGTCCTTACTCTGTCAATAACAATTATCTCACTTACAGGTTTACTAAAACCCCAGGAGGTACTTAAATACATCGTTGGAAATCTGTCTTCCACACAGAGCTAAAACAGGATATTTACACATTTACAAACCTAAATAGCAGCAATAACTTTTAGGACAAAATACTGTTGTTCCTGCAGGTTTTTCAGATAAATGTTCAAGTATTAATGCTTTAATGGCTCATTTTGGGAGGAAAGTAATAAATATATTGTCCTTGGAGACCTACAGTTAATTTAGTCATGATAATTTGATAAACAGTTTTCTTTTCTCCACTCAGTTTTAATATACTAATTCAGAAGTTTTTCATTCTGGTGATCAGATGAGCAGACAAATCTGATTGTCCCTGCAGAAGCATCTTTTCTGGAAAGAAACAGTTTGTCAATTTTTTTGTTTGCAATTTATCTTTAAACAGGATACTCAGTGGCTGCTGGGGAATTTACTGGAGATTCTGAACAAGGTAAGAAGCCATATACTTGAATGGAGACCATATGGCTGTGCACCTATTAAATTCCCCAGTTGGGGTCTCTGCACAGGCAAATACTTCCTTAGAAGGTGTAGCATGGCAGAGCAGAATTTTGGGAAGTCTGAAGTGCCTGTTACGGTATCCTTCTGCCTGTATGTCTGTTCTGCAGTCAGAGCTGTGACAGTGGCAAAGGTGGACCCACCTGGGCTACTTAATTTAGCCAGTTTGGTGACCAGTAGTAGTAACATGTGGAGCCAACTGTACAAATCTGTACAGTCTTTGGGTCCACAGTCCAGTTACTCACCTGCACTGAAGTGCTGGACCTCAGCACTTTGCTTGCCAGATGCAACTTGGTTTGGAAATGTCTGTATACACCGAAAGCACATTTCACCCCAAAAGAATCAGATAACATCTCACAAGCTCAACAGCATTACTTAAAAATGTAATCACTGTGAAACCTTCACCTGAAATGTTTCATGATCCCAAAAGCACCACCTTCTAGGACTGGATGCATTCATAGTTTGATAAAGTAGAGCAACATACATACACAGAGTAAGGAAGAGGTTTTAAACAAAAATATAGGATGACTATTTTTTTTTTTAATGGGCAGAATGTCTCTGTATAACTTAAAATTTAGCTCAAACACTGCGGTTCATGTTGTTCCCTCTGGCAAAAGGTGACACAGAATCATTATTAGTTTCATATGGTCAGGAAAGACTGCAATGGAAGACTGAGGCTCCAGCAACATAGTTCTGTAGTTCTTCTCTAAGGGCAAAGTCAGAGCAATCCTTTCTGCTGGGTCTTGGATTAGCAGCAGCAGTTCCTGGAATATCACTGTGGTTTTAACTGAACACCAACAAGACTTGAACCACACTAAACTGATGTGCTGAACGTGTAGCCCAAGGTACTGTGGCAGAAGAACTAAAAACAAACTGACTGTTGTTAGATTTTTAAGTTGTAAAATAAACTTGTGTGTGTGTTAGAAATTAAACGCTAGTTTTATGATGACTGCAAGCTACATCAGTGTAGAACAATTCCTGTCACAGCTCTCTATTTAGTAGAGTATGTTAAAAATAATCAGTTATAAATATAAATTTCTCCATGATTTATCTATTTTCAGAAATTGTTTTGAAATTGTATAGGATTTCCAAGTATATATTTCAGCTGAGAAAATAGGTGGTCCTTGGTGTTTCATACCTTAAGAGTTATTGTATCTTGTGTAAGACTGACAATCTGTCATAAAGTTTTGCTTGAAGGATAGCTTTCTTGAAAGGGTGAACAGCAACATGGTCCAGACTCACAAAACTGATAGAAACAGTACATTTCTGCAAATGGATCCAGCTGCCCAGAACTGCTGCTGCTTAATCCCTTTGAAGTTAGAGTTTCCCATCCTTTGCCGCTACAGGTTCAAAAAGAAATAGAGGACACAATTTTGAGCCTAACTCTGTAACTTGAAAAAAGGAGATGTATCCCTGGTAATGGAAGGTTGCAGCCACCTTTTTTTTAATACATGCTCACAGTTTTATAAGGGTTCTCGAATGAGTAAGTTGAATGAATGATTGGCACAAAGAACACCATTGTTAGCTGATCCAGCAATAGTCCTGTGTCCTGTTCAGTCCTTCGTTACTACTTGCATCTCCCCTTGACCTACCATTGTTCTCCACAAACAAGTAGACAAACTAAACAGGAGTAAAGGCAGATGTTTGAGCTGCTCTGATGCCTGAGACTCCTGGTGCTGTCTTCTGATGTGGGTATCTTCTGGAGGGAAAATTTAGACAGTAAGACTGCAGGCTGTAGCTTTACTTTTTTTCTTCTTTTTCTTTTTTTTTCTTTTTTTTCCCCCCCACTAGTTCATTAAAATCTGGCCATCAGGCAAGAATCACACCCTGGAGAACAGCTAGTTTCAATATTTCCTGTTGTTCAATGAATTCCCCCTGTACTACTCACAAAAAGTTGCTTGCTGTACTCTCAGATGGACTATGCCAAACCTGATCAGCTATGTGTGCCGAACCACACACATGAAGGTGTGGGACAAGTTGAATAGCAGATGAGAGAAAATATTGTGCAGCCAGAAAAAAGGGGAATTTGCAGACAGCTGTGTTTAGCTTCTGTACTATAGTGTGTGGTGCCACAGTTAGTTCTGGTCTGATCCATCCACAGGTAACAAGCTGAACTGTACTAGAAGTTCTATTATACTATGCTCTGCTAAGTAAAGCTAAGCTAAGCAGAAATAGGCCTCTGTCCAGTTATGGACCAATGTATTCCACAGTTAAAGCTGTAGTATTTCATGTCCCTAGATGCACTGAATGAATTTTAAAATCTTGTGAATGAGTGTCTTGAAGTGAATTCTAGGTGTTTTTGATACAGACAAGAGGCTGAAATCCTAAGGGTTATATATCAAGGAAGATTTAAGTAGTGTGGGATGCATGTGGCATGCGCCATTCAGGTAATATCACCTATTCACTGCTCATCGTTTATCTTTTCAGAGCTGGTTGCTGGAGTCCCAAGGGGAGCACAGAACTTTGGCTATGTATGTACTGGACCCATATTTTATCCATTTTATAGTGATAATGCAGTTAGACTATTTTAAAGATTAAAAGCTGTACTGTATTCTATGTCTCTCTGTCTCTATTCTGTGTCTCTAAGCCTTCCATTCAGGCGTAATTGCCACTGACTTTCACCCTCGAGCTTAGGTGTTTTTGATACAGACAAGAGGCTGAAGAGTACTTCACCTGGGTTGAAGTACTTTACTGGCTTGAGCTTTGCATATTAAGCTTTCATTCCCTTCTGAAGTCTATGTTTTCAGTAGTCAATTACAAGCATGGTTTGAATATTACTAGTGTATCTGTACCCAGAGTGTCATCAGGCTCCAGCCTAGAGTCTTTTATGTGCAATTTTGTGTCCATGATGGAGAGAAGTCAAAGTTCAGATTATTCATATCCTGTGTTTATTTTCAGTGCTCATTCTAGTTACGTATACTGAATGCCAGATACAAAGAGTCATGATATACAGTTAGAAGTGGAGGGCGAAAACAATATACATGTGTGGATACAGCTTTTTTGTCACAGAAGAAAAGATTCAGGAACAATGTGATGGGCTAACTGAGAGATCTCAGCCACAAACACGTTCTGTAGTTTTGTGGATGCAAAATGCTTTGTATCTCGTCCCATGAGATGCATATGAACTTATTCATCCCATTTCTGAGGAGAAAGCTATATATCACTTTTAAGTTCATGTGTTTATGCCAATTAATGTAGCCACTGATTAGGTGGTAGTCTATAATACGCTGCTGTTCACAGTGCCTAGTAAGGAAGGAAAATACTCTTTTCCCCATTTTACTCGTGAGAGATATGAGATTCATAATGCCTTAGTGATTTATCCAAGATCATATAGGAAAACAGGTGAAACAGAGAAAAGAATCAGTGCTCTTTCTTGGCCTTCAGGGTTTAAAATTGTTTTGTGGTGATGTTACAGTGTTACAAACATCTCCTTTTGTGCTTGAAACTTTTTGTGTTTTTCTGTTACCAGGTCTCAATTATTAATTCTTCAGACCTGACCTTTATCCAGAACTTCACTGGTGAACAGGTAATGTCAAGGAACTGCACGATGAAGTATTTTATCTCTAGAGGACATAATTTCATCAATGTAGTTTCAAGAATATAGAAAATATTTTTATAATTTAGAATTAATATCTATGGAAACAAAGACGTTTATTAGTAAAACTTTTAAAAATTGATCTAAGATATGAATGCATATCTGTTGTTTTTTATTTCCAGATGGCTTCTTATTTTGGGTACACTGTTGCAGTATCTGATGTTAACAATGACGGGTAGGTTACCAAATATATTCATCTCCCACCGAACATACATAGAAGCCGTGTCTGATACTACATGCCCTAATCTCTCTAGGAAATTCAAGTTTTAGGAAATAGTATTTAAAGTGACAGTGACAAAAAGCGTCATTGAACAGTCATGATGATTCTTACCCAAACAGTAAAAGTTTATTTATTAATAAGCACAGGTTTTCGGGTGCTTTATACCTCAAAATCCTTCTGTTAGCTTTTCTGCTTTCATAATTTTAGTTGTTGACATAGGCTTGCTTACCTTTGTGCAATCACAGTGGCCTGAATACTTGCCATCTTAGTTTGGATAAGTTCTTGAAGATCTTTTCAAAGCAGTGTGGCAGAGTGGGAATGTCCATATTCTGAGGAAACAGAACCAGTTAGAGATGCAGTGAATAAAGAGTGCTAGCTGCTGCTGGGAAGAGACAGAAAAGGTCAAAAGCAGAACAATTCATTCTCCCCTTCTCAAAAGCAGATAAATCCTCCCACGTGCAGACCGACCATAGCCCCAGTTCTGTTTTAAGAGCTTTTCAATATCATTAGCTCCTCACTCAAGCATCTGCTAGTTGACCGTCCATTTGCATCATCAGTACGCCTTCCCGAGGACCTACCAGTGTCTGTGGCCCATAGTTGTTATAAAGGGCATTGTGCTTACCTGAGGGAGAATGCCTCTTCAGTTGGAGTTATGCCTAATGAGGCTTTCTGGGATTTCAGGTCCTGTTCTGCAAAACACTTACAAACTTTGAATTGATTAAAAGCTTTAAAAGGTCAGGACTTTAGTAAGTGAATATGGATACTAGCTTTCTGTCAAGGAGATAAAGATCACTCATGCTCAGAGCTTTGGAAGCCTGCACAGAATTGAGCCAGGATTATATTAAGAGCTCTGTATACTTTTGCCCTTCGATGAGTCTATTTCATGTTCTTTTCTTGTGATTGTTTCATATTAAGTGCTTAAATATAGCGCATTAAATAATTTCTTTGGGGTAAATCATTGCTTTCCATCAGTGACTAATGGCCACAAAACAGTTAGGGATACAAGAAAAGAGAAAAGTAATGAGGCAATAAAAATGTTATTGCGGTTCCAAAACAAAAAAGAAGCTTCAACAGTCTCTACAGTAGCTTCACAATAATGAAACCTTTCCAAGCTTCTAAGGTCAAATTTACTCATAGTACCATAGATTTTGGTAAAAATTCCTGTATTTATGGTATACGTCGTCAGGTTCATTTTAGTCTTACCATAAGGCATTGCTAACATGAAAGTGTGGAAAAACATTGACCTAAGTTACAGCAGGCTCTCATTAAACTTTCAGGAAACTTGCTAGTTAATTTCTCACTGTACCAAACTATTTCCTGTGCAGGTTATTTCCTGTGAATCATGGGATTACTTGGCAGGTCTCATATTTTCTGTGTACCTTTAAGACCGCAGTTTATATCAATAATATAATCAAACTGCTGTTGAGGCCTGTGTGGTCTCCCAGTCTGTATCTCAAAGGAAATCTAATGACTCTCTCTGAGATCTAAACTTCCCACACAAAACAAAACACAAAAAAGCTCTACTTGATAAACATGTCTGATTAAATATGTAGTCTGTAGATGCTGGATTGCACATACAGTCAATAGAAATATTTGTCTGAAAGGGAGAGTAAAACTGAAAAAAACTGCAAGAGGGAAATGACTACTTCAAATTGACTTGGGAGTTTTTGTTCAGCTAAGGACAGAGGAGGTAGTTAGTGATTTCTTTATCAGTACCAGAAACCTCATTAAGTCATATACTAAAAAGGTTAACAGGGATGATGCGTTTCTGTTATAAGGTATAAGGCTTGACTCTAAGATTAGGCTCATCCTACGAAAGCGGATCTGTGGACCTTCTGCTCCAGCAGTTCTTTTAAGTTTTCTGGGTTGACACTTGCCATTATACCCACATCGTTTTAGAGCTGCCGGCAGGACACAGAAATTGTAGGTATTATTTGAGCTACCCTAAAGTTACCCACTGCTAATAAAAAGAAATGCACAGTGAGTCCTAACAAATGTAGTTTTGCCATCAACTTAGGGACTCCATTCTTAGTAAAGAGAAAAAGGTGGACATTTTCAATTCAGACTAAAACAGTTCAATAAAAGTAATAGGATAAATTGTTTACCAGTCTTTTATTTGGCCTTTATCAAAGCTTCTCATAGTTCTAATTCGACCTCTTGACACTTCACATACTCTGCTTTTTATTACTCAGCAGGATACAAAGAAAATGCATACTGTCCCAGCAGGTGGTTAACTTGTCCTTTTTACTAATTTTTTTTTTTTTTATCAGTAGGGAAGTAATATTAGCTAGTTACCTTTATGTGCTGGAACAAATGCAAATACACTGAACTATATGTGAGCTACAACATCTTGGTGCAGTGATGAAATAACTCTAATGAAGCAGTTTAAAATACCACCGTAAGCTGAACTGCAGTTTATGGTTTAATGTTACTGTCTAGGGACTTTTACTTTTGCTTTGCTTTTATTGTCTTTTAAAGGGAACCACATCATCCTGAATTTGGCTCAGTAATCCGATTCTGTAAATATAAACTCTTCCAATTAAAAGCCGGTTGAAGTACCCTTCTTCAAAATTAAAAATAAATAATTTCAATCACATAGATGCTTATAGCCAAACAAGTGACTCCTCTTGAGTGCTTCAGGTCAGGTCAGGTAAAACTGACTATAAGGCAAGGTAAACAATATTTGCTTTCTTGTTACCCACTTGGAGAGAAACTGGGAAAAAGTAAATGAGGATCTCAGAGAGGCTGAAGAAGCCTTCCTCTCTGACTGTGGTACCTCGCTATGACCGTAGAAAAAAAGCCTTAGGAATGCATGAGGCAGAGGACTTGTCAGAGCAGCTTGCCCTGCCATGCAAAGCTCAACACTGGCAGAGAAGGGGGATAAGTAAAACGGTAAGGGGAGCAAGTCTTTGATAGGGGTGGAGTATGTCAAGGCCTGCAGGGAAGGCAAGCTAAGTGCTGTGGATGCTCCAGGTAGTTCTGCTGCCCATAATCAATTTGGGGATAAGTCCTTGTAATACAGATGGCTCCCTTCCTCCCACCCTCCCACCAGCACATCAAAATAGAGCCATCTTAGCTACTGGGTTCTGGTGCCTGTTCCCTGCACTATTCATACATTTTAAACAATCAATCATAGTCATTTTTTTAACAAAGTAGAAATTTTCCTAGAAAAGTAATCCAAGACTGGGCACTTTCAGCTGAGATGCCATAATCCCTAAACAATAGACTCCACCTCCTGTCTGCTTGCTTTCCATCTCACCTTGTGAGTCTTGCATTCTGGGTTGATCAGTGACACCAGTTTGAGAGGTAGGCAGGGTAAGGAGGACGTGTGTTTCATCCCCTTAGGCTTCTGCCTAGGGAATTGTAGGCCACACTACGAAATAGATATTCTGCCTCTCTTCTTTGGATATAGGCACATAAATTACCAAGGTAGGCACTCTGAATATTGCTCCATGGACCAGTGTTTTAAAGGTATCTAGGTATCTACTTATTTTCCGTTGATGAACTGGGAGTTTCCTGGCTCTGAATCTTTTTGATTCCCTACCACCTTTGAAAGTCTGCCCTTAGTCTTGCGATGCTTTATTTGTAAAACATTCCCTTATAGTCTGCCTTTTCTATTTAGAGTGTACAATCACGTGAGCAAGGCTCATCTTTTACTTCGTGGTTTCTACAGTACATAACCCCGTGCGGTCCCAGTCTCAATGGGAACATCTGGACTGTGCTGTAATAAAACAATAATTGATGATAGTGCTACTGTGTAAAGCTTTTTGTACGTAGCAAATGTAAAGTATCTTGTAAAAAAGAATGTGTGTGATCTGTTTGTGTTGTTGCTATTGTTTTGTGGCAACAGTTTCAGCTAACGTTCTGTCCCAGTCACTAGCATCTTCCGTTAGTAGAGGGGGACTTTTGATGTTTAGTATGGAAGGAAAACCCCACCTTTGATATTAAGTCAGCATCTGCTTCCTTCCCTTTTTAGTTATCCGTGCCATAGGGTACTATGGGTAATATCTGACATATATAGAAACTGCACAAAAGTGACCTGACACTTGGAATTATAGTTTCCTTTATGGAAACAAACCATATAACTTAATGCAAAAATATCATTTCTATAATTATTTTGTCACAATTTATAGAATGTAAAAATTCTACAATGTGATTAAAGGCTTTTGGGTGAGATTTTTCTGTATTAAATTATATGGTGTATGTTAGAACTGTAGCGTATATCTCTGGTAAAATACTAGCTGAGTTGCTTCTACATTCTATGGATTTTTCTGTACAGATTAAGGAAAACACAATGATGTGGTGCATTTTTTACTAATTGGTTTCTTAATGGATAAAGCTTTTGTGAAAGCATCAGTATTGTGAATATGGTGAATTGAAAGATGAGAGTTTTCTGCAAGTTTTACAAAGTTTCATGTTAGAGCAAGAGAATATGTTTTCCACAGTAAAAATTCTAGGATCAAATAGTACTAGTTGTTTGCAGTGACAGAGTTCCTTAATATGGATGATCAGTGTCCACTGAATATAATGGGAATTTTCCTATTAGTTTTTAAGGGCTTTAGAGCAGTCCTTAGAAATTCCTATAGTATTGGTTCATATCTCAGAAGCAACTGCTAACAGTGTTTCTGCTTGTTAAATATTTCTATCAATCTTGCTTTATTTTATTCTTTATTCTCCAGTAAAGGGTCTTTAATTCTGCCAAATAAATATTTTTAACGTACTTCAAAACACCCCCTGCTAAAATAAAATGCAAAATATCCTTTAATTAGTCTCTCTGCTTGGAGTAGCAAAACAGATGGAAGGAGTTCTTCCTCACAGGCTCATTTTCCTGTGCCTTTTCAATATCTTTTCTCTTTAATACTTAATCTAACAAATTACTTAAGTGCTGCAGCTACTCATGTACCTCATATTCAACAGAAGAGTTTTTAGCAATGAAGCTTCAGCTTTGTCTCCCAGCTTCCATTTGCATTAGTGTTGAGAAATCCTCTGGTCATTGATGCTGTTACCTATGTTTCATGTATATTACTGCAAAAAATCTCCTGGAAAGTGGCATTTTTTGTTCTATTGTTTACATACTGATCTATAACTTTAAAAACTACTTCATGCTAGAATTTGTGAGATATTGCACACAAATACCAGTCACTTGCACTATTAGTAGGATAGATCTACAGAATTTGTTCCAGTAACAGATCATCTCTAAGTTAAATTGCTGACCCCTGGATCATTAACTGCAAAGTATAGCATTTCCGTGTATTTTGTGGGCATCTATTGAAATACAAGGAATTCTATTTAAGCGTAAGAAAAAACTTTTTTATTGTGAGGGTGATCGAACACTGGAACAGATTGCCCAGAGTGGTTGTGGAGTCTCCATGCTTGGAGATATTCAAAACCCGACTGGACATGGTCCTGGGCAGCCTGCTGTAGTTGACCCTGTTTAAAGCAGAGGAATTGGACTAGATCTCCAGAGGTGCCTTCCAGCTTTACCTGCTTTATGATTCTATGATCAGTTTTCTGCTTCCTGTTTTACAAATGCATGAACTATGTGTTGATTGCACTCAGTAACACTGTTTTTTATTTGACTGTTGCAGTTTAGATGATATCTTAGTTGGGGCCCCTCTCTTCATGGAAAGAGAATTTGAGAGCAAGCCTAAAGAAGTTGGGCAAGTTTATCTATATCTTCAAGAAAGTGCTTTCCTCTTCCGGGATGCACAAATTCTGACAGGCACTGAAGTGTTTGGGAGATTTGGCAGTGCGATCACACACCTTGGAGATCTCAATCAGGATGGATATAATGGTAATCTATATAGAATATTGTAATATATTTATATGTGTAACATTTAAATTAAGAATGGCTAAATGGTGCATAATGGGATCTTTTTCGAATGCCTGTGGCACATATTTAACAAAGCATTCCCATAAGTAAACGGCAATTTAGGAAGAATTCAGGAGCCTAAGTTCAGGAAAGCAGTCCAACAGAACTATCTAACTTGCATAATGATCTGAGGTAGCCTGAATGCCTCGAGCACCTAGAGTTAGGCTCCAGTAGCACCCCGGTCTTTCCTGCATGCATTTCCTGACTTCCTATTTCCGAGATGTAGGGATCTGCAAATCAGGCATCTCTGCATCTAAAATGCCAAGGCGTTTTTCCTGGAGGAGTTATTTTGCGTAGCAACCTTAAAGATACCTTGCTCACTGAGGAGAAACTGATGGACGTAGCTCCGCCTTAGCTTGAGGGCTCTTTTTCACAGTGCTGTAGCCGTTAGACTCTAGGGCAAAGTGGCCAGTTTATGGCTCCTATGCTGGGATAAATCATCTGAGGAGCCACAGGACTATATTGGGTCCAGGGTGCACAAAAATCTGAATCCCATCCTGTGGAAAGGAGCCAATGGTTTGTGGCTGCTGAGAGTAGCCTCCCTGGGTTGTCCCGGAATCCCACTGTGGGGTCCCACTCTCCCCACAGTGGAGAGTTCTTGTTTCCCACCTGTGAGCAAGAGTGGATGCCCTCATCTTCTCTGGGCAGGGAAGACTGGTCTCCCGGCTCTTTGGCATTCTGGTAAGGAAGGGAGAAGACATTTCTGCTTTTTTCCTTCACTATTATAGAGCAGGCTGAGAAGCATCTAGAGCCAAGGTCTTCTACTTCTTGAATGCTGATGCCAGCCTCATCTCACTGAGCTTCAGTGCCTGAGTGAAGGCAGGAATTCCAAGTTCTGAAATCAAGTAAAATAAAGATGCCCAGCTTCAGCTGGATGAGAACATAGAAGTTAGAGCTGTAGATACATATCCTCCTTTAATGTTTCCAATTGGCTAGCTCAGCTAGCACGGCTGTTGAATCTCAATCTGGACGTGATTCTCCCCACCTCCATGTGTAGGCCCTGAAATGAGCACTGTAAATGTCACTTCTTGGGTACGGCACCTTGTTTGTAGGTATTGCAGTGCACGGTTGCATAATGCCTAAGGCCTCCTGTTGAATGCATGACTCGGTAGTATTCCCGTTTCCCCTATTCCCATTTCTCCTATTCCCATTTCCTAGTGTTTGCTTGATATAGATGAAAACATTGTATTCCATTGTTCACTTTTGCATACTGAAGCACTGGATGTTTGAAAGTATTTTTCCCCTCTATTTTTTGTCTGAGCAAAATGAATTTTCTCTAATAGGTGTTATCCCTGTTGAAATCAGGGAAAATTTGTGTCTATTTAAATAGATAGAAGTAGGAGCGGCCATTCATTAAGTGTTAGTTTATTAAGATTCATTAAATTCCCTGGAAGTATGGCAGAGGAATCCATTGTAGATTGGATATTTGTGAGCCTTTATCATGAAAGTTTGACGTACAAAAGAGACTACTAATATTTTCGTGTATTTGGCTTAAAACTAGAAACCTTTAAGAAGTACAGAAAGTCATAGTTATGGGATATATATAGCAGAAGCCATTTATGCCTGTTTTCCTGCAGGAACTTCTTGCTTTATTTTAACTGTGTCAATTTTTTTTTTATACCTTTATTATGCCACAGACATTGCTATTGGTGCACCATTTGCAGGAGAAGACAGAAGAGGTAAAGTGCTCATTTACAATGGATTCAGTGATGGGTTAAATACTAACCCTTCCCAGGTTCTCAATGGAGCCTGGGCCTCACAGTCCATGCCTTCGGGATTTGGCTTCACTCTAAGAGGAGACTCAGATGTAGACAAGAATGATTACCCAGGTAAGATTTTTCCGTAAGAAAGGGAATTCCATACTTCAATTCTCTGGAAAATGCATCATGCCTGTACCTCTCCTTTTGGGAGGAAGAGGTCAATATAAAGAATAGACATGTTTTTGGACAGTTCTAGCTTGCTTTCCTGAAAGTTAAAATCAGACAAAACAAATACTCCCTTTCCTGTGAAAAGACATGATCAGAAGTGCAAGAAAGGTCTTAAATAGTTATATTAACATAAAACATGTGAAGTTTGCAATAAAAAGCTTAACCCTTTCCCCCCGCTTTCGAAAATTGAATGCTCTCAGCTTATTGAACTTGTAATGTCTCCTTCATCCTGACATTCCTTCTTAATTAAAAACATGTTGTGTTGTAGAAGAAGAGATTGACTTCGTTTTGTTGCTAAGTTGTTTTCTTAAAACTTTCCTTTCAGAAGACACACTGGGCTATATACAAGTTCTTAATGGTTTTGAGCTCATTACAAAAAAAGCACAGAGAACACGAAGACATTGCTTAAAAGCAGAGATTTCATTTGTGCCTTTCCATGCTTTTTTGTTTTCATTCTGCTATATGGACTTTTACTTTTCAGGTTGGCTTTGATTCTTCCTTATTAATTTACCTGAAATCCATTCAAATTTATCAAGTTTGTAAGATTTCTTGTGAGTTTTGCTGTGGAGGAGGGTTTTGTTTGTTTGTTTGTTAAGAGGAATGTTCCTAGCATCATAAACCGTCTGAATGTTGGTGATCTTTTACATGTGATCGTATTTACTCTCTGTCCTCTAGAAGCAAATATGATCTGTTTCTCTTTGTCAGAATTCAGAAGCCTAACAAGGGTGTGCAATAGAACTTCATATTTTGTTATTGTGAAAGGCTGATCCTCAGCAGAGTGCTAACAGTCTATATTTCATAACTCAGTATGAAATTACTTTTGTTAGCTTGGTTTGTTTCAAGGTTGGTGATCTTGAAAGTTGTATTGTTTCAAAAATGAAAGTAATGAGTTTCAAAAGGACGAGAAGTGTGATCTCTTTTGTCTTTTTGTGATGGATTGTAGAGAACTTGGGAGAAGTTTCTTTTTAAAAGTTAGGAGGAAAGTTTCTGTGGAGGGGTGTTTGCAGCGGAAATTAAGGTTGTACCAAATAGAAAAGCTGACTGCAGAGTAATAAACTGAGGCAGCCACAAGACTGAGGTGAGAGGACCTTTAGTAGTCAAGAAAAGAAAGAACTTTTAAACACTGCTGTGATTTTTTTGACTTTTTGTTTGCATGTTGTTGATGGTGCTATTAATAGTTCTTTCTGTTGTCCATGACTAATGAGGTTCTTTTTGACAAAGGGGCACTTTATTATAGTTTCACCATTTAAACATTCCCTAAAGTACCCACAAGGCCCCCAGCAAACCCAAAGAAAACAGGATGTTACATTCCTGACATTTCTAAGATTGAAAGATAGAAAGAGGCAAAGGAGAGATCCTTTCAGATCATCTTTGAGTCACATTGGGAAGGATGAAGAGTAAGAGTCTAAATAATATATAAAAATACTTTTTATGGAACATCTTTTAAGCTTATTAATGAAGATTTTGAGTGACACACCTGGAGCTCTCTAAATGTGCACTGACTGCTATAGTCAGTTCAGTTAAAAGATTTACTCGATTTATCCTGCTTGTCATCGTTGGCTCCACTTTGCATCCTACTTGAAGAATTTCACACTGTGATATCAGCTTACTGTGTGCTAGAAGGGGTTTGCTTTGGTTTTAATTATCTGACTGATTTATTTTAAAGCAGTAACAGCATTTATCATAACAGCTTTTCCCTCAGTCCCTCGGTTGAATTACATGGATGAGCAGTCTGGAGCACTGGTGAGAACCTGTCAGCAAATGGCAGAACAAAAAGTCTTGCTGTTAATCAGCCACCTCTTCTTTAATCCACAAAGACCTGAAGCACCAAAATAAAGCTGTAAAAATAGTGCAACCTTGGCACAGTGTTAGCACAACAATAGAATACCTTCCTATGGGAAAAAGAAGGAAAGAAAGGAAAGAATATGGGGAAATGTCCAGGGCAAACACACTAGGCAGTCAAGTAATCCTTCTTGTGTCAAAAAGCTTTTCTTCTCCACCTCCTGATAGAAATCCCAAAGGGCAGCCCTTGTACAAAGGGGAAAGGAAGGGCAGAACTAGGAAGGGATAGGAAGGAAGTTTTATTTTAGATGTCAGCTGACAGGTATTTGCTGACTAGAAGGTCTCGGAAACTGCTCTCTGTAATTCCTTGCTTCCCAAACTGCTGGTGATGACTGTAGTTCAAAGAGGGTTGTGAAAGATTAGGAAAAATCTCAGGATTTTTCAGTTAAGCTTTTTAATGTGTGTATTATGAAAATTATAACATTTTAAGAAGTAAATATAAGTATAAGAAAATGTATTATAAAATCAACTGTTTTATGAATACAGAAAAAAATTATGTTGACTAATCACCCTCAGAATTTCAGGTCCCTGGAAAATGGGTGATAAGAGCTAGCTGTAATGGCTGGCTATAGGTGTAAACACACTTTGCCGTAGTCTTTCTTTGCTGAGCCCAGGAACCAGTGCTCTTAGTGCAGCAGATGACTGAGTTACAAGTCAGTTCCTAAAAAGTGAGGGTGAGCCACAGTCAAATTTTTCTGCCATGGGAGAAAGGTTATCCTATCCAGGCCTATCTTGGTTAGGGGTTTGAGTCAGGCTGGAATTTACCTATGTCTCCTGGAGAAGAACAGCCCATCTCATTTGATACAGGAAGTGGTATCTTTCTCTCTTCATCCAAATGCCAATACAAGCTCAGGAAGAGAAAAGGAAACAGGGAGCAGACAAATGCTGCCTGAAGCTCAGTGCTGTTCAAATCCCCCAGTTTTCCTGGGGTGGAGGGGTGGCTTTTCTTTTTTTTGCTTCCTGGTCTTATCTTGAAAGGCAGATGAAGACCCGCTTGTCCCTCCTGGGTAAACAGAGCTGAAGTGAGGGAGGTTACATAACTAGTATGGGAGAAAAACTGTCAGGGACACATTTAACTGCAGCATAGTGGAGTTGCCAGGGAAGAACATAATACAGACATACTGGTAAGATCAAAGATCTGTTTAGCACCACAGCCTGTCTCCAACCATGGCTGATGGACATCCAAGGAAGAGTACAGTTGCTGTGGTATTTCCTAGAATATTCACCTATCCCTAACCATCCGGAAGAGCAAGGTGTGCCTGAGTCACAGGGGATATTTTAAATTTAATAGACCTTGGTAGACTTTTCTTCCATTAATTTGGCCAATTAGTTTTTGAACCTCCCTAAAATCCTGACACAAAATTACCACAGAAAATTCCCACAAAAACATGTGGCAAGGGGCTCCACAGCCTAGCTACATGTTTTGTGAATAAATAATTCTTCTCACTGCATTTCATTCAAGTCTTGAACTTTTCACTTTATATAATTTCATTGAATATGCCCTAGTTCTTACACTAAACAATACTTCCTGATACATCTTCTCCAGGCCACTTTTATTTTACAGATCTCTGTCATATTCCCTCCCTCAGCCGCACGTCTTAGGAATCCTTGGAAGGAACCCTAACTTACTTACTATTCCTTATGCAGAGGCAAATGTCACTCCAATCATGCTGCAGCAGGGCATGTATTTTTAAAGAAAGAGCAACTGGTGGCAGTGTTTAAAGTTTAAGTTTATCTTGTGTCTGGCTGAAGCATTGCCTCCAATAGAGATTCAACCGTTGAATCATGTTAGCACCTCAACTAACATCAACAAACCTGAATCTTCCCCACAGAAGAGAAAACTGAAATTTGCACTTGACAAAATAGTAATGCCAAATCTTTTTCATTGATATCAGTGATTATGTTTTTGCAAGCAAATAAGATAAACCGGGAACTGTGGTTTGGCCTTGGGGCCATGTGGCGCAGCACAGCTCACCATGACCTGAAAAAACCCTTCTGGTAGAGTACTAATTTGGGAGAGTGCTAATTTGCACAGTCTAAAATACAAAGATTTGTCTAACGTTTCAACGAGGAAGATGTTGTATTATTAAGCACAACCATTGATGTACATCTCCACAGTTTTCCAGGGAAGGACTTGTGTAAACTGTATTGTATTCACAAACACTCCAAATGACATGTGCCCAGAATTACTCCTTTATCAACACAGATCTGGGTGATAATACACTACTCTGTTCTGCAGGCTCAGTCTGCTTTGAAAGCAGTGAAAAACTGTCAACCCTGGGAAGCATCAGAGGCAGAACACTACACTGATCATCCCGACAGCCGTGTCACTAAAGACGTGCAACTTGTCCTCTGTCACCAGTGTTACTTTTCATCTCCAGCTCCAACAGTGTTGTGCCTCACTTAGCAGAAGAATTGCAATGGCAAACAGTAGTGGTGGTGGCAACAAAGAGATAGGGTTATTCCTTGCTCGGTAGTCATGTAAGAGTTAGGCAGAACCTGACCAAACTTTACCTGTGCATTGCTCAGCTATTACAGTAATTAATATGATAGCTAGAGTATTTGTTTCTATTTTTCTATTGCTTTATTTATGCAGATTTTCTTTGGTGACTGAAATTTCTGTATTCTTTTCGCATCTTGTGCTCTTGCATCTTATGCAACAAACCTGAAAAAGTAAACAAAACAAAAAGATATAGAGAAAGTGGTCTGAGGCTTAATGCTGTACTTCTAGGACAAGAGACCAAAACGTAAGTTCAGGAGGTGGATTGTTTGTTTGAAATATCTTAATTTTGCATTTTTTTGGCAAATTGTGTTCTAGGAGGTAATATAAGAAGAAAAGGATCCAACCTCACTTATGCAGCCGTATATCAAGTAAATATTGACTTCGTGCAGTTACTCTGGATTGAGAGCAATGTAAAAAAAACGAACGGGATTAAGATAGAAAGGGGGTAGCAGTGAATGGAGCGAATAAGGATGAAAGATAGGGAAGTTTGCTTTTTTTTCATTGTTTTTTGTGCAAATACAGTGGCAGTTCGCATAAATTCTGTGCTGCACTTTCC